GACCTTTCGGAAGTGCGTTTCGGCAGTGCTCCGGAAGTGGATGTGGAAGTGCCCCAACTCTATTAGCTTGCAGTCAATGGTCGTCGTGAGTGCAAGTTTATTTGTCCCACGTGATGTATGGGGATCCATGACTTTTCTGGATGTGCTGTGGATCCGACTTCGGCCGATGGGGTCTGCAGGGGTTGGCGAGTGTAGTGCTGTGCACAAGTTGACAACCGCAGCAAACCCCAAAGACATGTGCTGTCAGCCTTGGCATGTTTCTTCATGTAGCTCTTCAGTACGAAACCAAACTGTGACAGCAAGGCCCATTGATCGTTTAGCCAGACCTGAGACAGGGATGAGTGAGTGCCGTGATGGAGAAGTCTCATCCATCTCTGATGTCTCATATCCAACAGCAACAGATAGCACCACAAACCTCCACACACATCACGGCACACAGCCGCAGACAGCACAGCATCAAATAACATAAAGCGCAGAGCCGCGCGGGGAAGGCTGCGAAAGCGTGGTTACAGATAGCCTTCTTACTACGTGGCCTAGGCCGGGCTAGGCACTCTTCCTTTCTGTTCGCAGCCGAGACCGATGTGCCGAAGTTGTCTTTGGTTGGAAGACAACAAGGCGTGCTTTGGAGTTCGGGTTTCCCTATTATTATTCCTCTACAATTTTTCCTGTCCTGAGGGTCCAAAAGCTATCCTTCGCATTGCAGGCGGCTTCATTGGCTTCAGCTGCCTGGACCCCGAGCGGTCAGGGTTAAGGTTGTAGGCTCTGGCATTTTTAAGTTCGTAGGCTGTCGGGTTTTAGTGCGTTCGTGTGAAAGGTTGTAGCTTCCACAGTTGTGGGAGTCTATCGGTATAGGGGATGACTATGCAGCACAAAAGACAGCCGAAGTCTTAAACCCCTCTGCTGGGATGTTTTAGCCTGCGAACCCTGACATCCCGAACCAAAACCCAGCCCGATTCCCCACGCCAAAACCCCCACTGCTGCATGCTCCGTTTCAGGCTACATCCACGAGTCATGGGTGGGGACCTCGGCCATTCTACCTTCATTTTTGCTGTTGCTCGGTCTGGGATTTGGGCGGGTGTCGGTCGCGACTGTACTGTTGGCCACGACCTCGGGCCGTTGATGCTGCGATCTTGCCTAGGTTTGTAAGCCTGCACAAGCGCACGCTAGCGCCTTATCCTCGTCAGCTGCACAAGGGATATTGGCTCTAGAAGTATGCTTCTGCGTGGCAGGCATCAGCTGTCGCTCTCTCTCTCTCTCTCTCTCTTTCTCTCTCTCTCTCTGTCTCTCTCTCTCTCTCTCTCTCTTTCTCTCTCTGTGTCTCTCTCTCTCTCTCTCTGTCTCTCTGTCTCTGCTGAGTCTGACACGTAGCAAGTCATGCCACGTATTGCCTGCGTGTGCCGTTGAACGTTGTGGAGCAGACAGATCACCGGACATGTCTTCGAGTTCCTGCTTGAAGCACTGATCAACGCTGTGTTCGTGCCAACAAATCGTGCCCAGCCGTTGTCACTGAGGTCTCCGGCTACTTGACGCATTGGCGCGAAGGCTGGCCTGGGCACACACCAACAAACAAAGTGCCGATCGCAAGCGGTTCAGAAGTGAGGTATATAATCGTAGAATCATGACAGGAGAATGTTTTCAGGGGTTTGCCCGTGACAGGAAGCCCCCGAATACGCAGGGTCAATGGTTGAGAGAAGTTCTACAGAAACCGGAGCCCTAATGAATCTCTGGCAAGGCATTGCTTCATGTGGCGGCTTGCAAGCATCGGCGATGCAGGCGTCGAGAATTGCAGAAGGGCCGACCTGAGACTCTGTCGTGCGTACATTCTAGAGCTCTCAACTTTCAAGATCTCGAGAGGCCCGCCCATAGGCTTGGGGGGATGTGGAGATCACTATTCAGGGATGCCAAGCTCGGGGGCCATGAGGGTTGCCAGTGTCGGGTTTGGGGTCAGTCCTTGAAGACGGTCCAGGTTGACTCTTTATGTTTTGTCTTGCCATCATTCAACTCTGAACGTAAGCCTCATGCTGAACCGTCCTGAAAGAACGTATCAATCCCACCACAAGCTGCATCGTCACGTGACCGCTACATTCTAAGAATTTGATCCTGAAGACCGTAATTAATTGACCGTCAGGACTACTGCGACAAGGGGCGAAAGCACCAACGCATAGCAGGAATAACCCTCGACCACAAAAACCAGGGACCATGTGCAGTTGCAGCTTGCATCCCTTGTCTCCTGGCGAACAGCTGCCATTTCAGAGCACCGTCTCCAGTTTTGTAGGCCCGCCTTGTCCAGCAAGCTATGCCCAGTCGTGTCCGGAAGCCTGAATCCTGCAAGGGTAGCAGGACTCGCCGCTCTGATCACGGGAAGCACTTGCGCAATCTCACAGAGCAGTACCAGAGGGCCACAGGGTGCAAGCTACCGACGCATCACAGGCCTGGAGTTGGAGAAAGACTCACTAGGTCTGTGACAGCTGGCTTGTGACCAGTGCAACTTGCCATACTGAGGTGGATGTTGGATGTTCGTGCGCAGCGCCCATCCGTGGATTACACGAAGATACAGCAGGCAAGCGACCGTCTCTTGAACCAGGAAGGCTACGGTCTTGGGGGTCTCCGATCCTCTGTCCTTGGCTGCGGGGACACACCATGCGACCGTGAGGTTGTTCTGCATGGAACCTGTGCAGATATCTCTCGGATTCCTTCTCCACTGCTCTACGCTAGGATGTGTGACACGGAGAGCCTTGTTAGAGCAGCGACCGACGAGCTCATCCGTGCCTTTTTGGAACTGTACAGTAGAGGGTTCCTCGTAGAGTGCGAAGATGTCGAGTGCGAAGATGGGTCGGACGCTGAGCCTCCAACGGAAACGGCCGGCGACCAGCACTCTGTGTGACAACATGCAATGGTCTCCTTGAAAGAAAACAGAAAGGAGTCTGATCGTGGTAGCTGCCTCGTCGCTGCTCATGCAGACACTGATAGATGCCTCCTTGTGCACTGTCTGCCGCAAGCGACATCATGCTATACTTCCGATCAAAATCTTTCACGGCTCAGCTATATTAGAGGCCCTCCTTCTGGGTTTGAGGTTAGCGGTAAAGTCTCGCTCTGCTATGATTCCAGGCTTCACTTGTCGATTGCCCGAGGAGACACAGTCAGTTGCAGTTGCGCCAGAGCCGAGAAGTGGCGGGTGCAAGCCACGTGTTCAGAAACCTGATCTTGCCGAGGGGGTTAGCAGGAAAAGGACTCTGGACGATGCGGACGCAGCGCACTGGGCAGCGTGCAACGTGAAGGGCTGCGCCCGCTGTGTTTTCATACGGAACCGCGAGGAATGGCAGGCTAAGCTGCCCATGGGAGACATGGGAGTCTCCTGGCTGCATGGCTATCTTGACGGGGACGACGGTCTGTTCAAGCTGAAATGCCGAGCCTGCGAGAAAACCAAGCAGACGAACCGCTTTGCCGGTGGCGTTGTCACGACGTTGTTCGGCAACCTCAGCCGCCACCACAGCTGCAGCCAACATCAGAGCGCGCTAGCTGCTCTGGGCCTGGGCCCGGAAACGGAAGAGGTGCCTGCGCCGGCGGCTGCGGATTTTCATCTGGTGGCGGAGAATCGATTGAAGGGGACAGCCTTGAGGCACGGCATCAAGGGATTGGGTGGCCAACATAAGACGACGTGCATGGAGATTGCGCTGGGGCAAGCCATGTTCGAGATCGACCGTGCCTTCCTGGCCGATGCGACCAGTGTGGCGATTTTTGCGGATGCCCGTCAGCATATGTTGCTTCTCCGCTTCCGCGCTTGCAATGATCAACTTATCACTCGGCGAGGTCTTCTCGGGTATCGCAGTTTGGGCACATCCAGCGGTGCCTCTGGCCTTCACGATTGCATCCAGGGCATTTTAGAAGACTTCTGCACCGGATTAGATGGTGTTCTGCAGACGGAACTCCTCACGCACTTGCGGGCCAGCGTGGAGATGTACGTGGCAGATGCTGCGTCGGATGAGCAGCTAACTGGCCAGCTCCTGCGCTCTCAGCGGTACTTTGAGAATCTCCGATTCGTGTCCAAAGACAGAGCTCACGCGTCCCAAAGGCCGGCTGCTCGTTCGTTCAGTCAGGGCGGCACCTCCAAGATCATCGTCATTAAGTCCTGAGCGGTAGTAGTAGTAGTAGTAAGTAGTAGTCGTCGTCGTCGTCCCGGTAGTAGTAGTAGTAGTAGTAG